TGCGTGTCAGCAGCCGGTTGTCGATAGCCTGGGTCTCTATGGTGTGGGGCAGAGGTTCCGGTGTAAGGCCTAGTTGTTCCACCAAGGCTGGGTCGATGAGGTTGCCCCTGGCCCCAGAGTCAAGAAGTGCCTGGTAGGAGGACGTCTGACCAGCGGTTTCTAGGAGCACGGGAAGACGGCAACTGGTACCTGGCCTGGTGGAGTTGGAGGAACGGCCCGTCAGTGTCCCCACTTTCACTGGTGGGCCTGCTCTTTTGGCTGCACCGGGCAGGTAGCTATAAGATGGTCCGGAGCCCCACAGAAAAGGCATGCCCCGGTGCGGATACGGCGGGCCCGCTCTTCGGGGTGAAGACGGGCACGTCCCAAGTCCATGGGTTCCTCTGGGTTGCAACGGGTGCTGGTATTGGAGACCCCCAGCCGAGGAAGAGCCCGGGCCTCGACTGGTGGAAACGGGATAGAGTATAGAAAGAACTGGCAGGGAAGTGGACGATGAGCACGGCATAAATAGGAAGAAACTAATCAGGTGCAGCTGGTGGTGATTCAGGGGACGTGAAGCAGGTGTGTCAGATAAAGAAATCAGGGGTAAGGGAGCTAACATAGAGGGAGAGAAGTGAGAGAGGCAGGGGCAGCCGGGCAAACCTGACAAAAAACTACTAAAACATGTCAGTGATCCACACTGACTGACATTATGATGAGTTAATTTGACACATTCACTGTGCTCTGAATATTTGCTAGCACACCAAACCCACGACAGAAAATAATTTTTTTTTATATCTGATATATTTGATAAGAATTTGTAAGCTGAAAAGTATTGAGAGATTAATGAGCACATAGTTGGTTTTGGACTTTTTGTTTCATTTTTTTTGACAATAAACGAATGAACAAATAAAAAAATAAATAGCACCAGCTTTATCCTTTAAGACTAGTGTGTACACAGTAAACATGTTATTTGACTGTGTAGGCACTGACCTGAAAACCAAAATCAGGCAACCAGCCACTAAATCTGCATGAGACAGGATGACATCCAGTGTTAGGCTGCCTTAAATCCTCATGTACCAGTGTGATTAAACATAGACACTGTGAACCACTGTGGTTGCCTGTTTGTAAAGAAAACTGGTATGGATATTTAACTATTGAGAAACAGGTGAAATGTAGAAAAAAAAGCATTCCAAGAAACAGCTAAAATATATTTACACTATATCAGCTCTGTAACCCCATAGTATCTCAGTCACGTCCATCCAAAGCTCACAGTGGTGATATCATTGTCACGTTCCAGATTCCTGTATAGCCAAAACGCAGGATGCTCCTGTTATTTTTTCCATTTGTGAGACACTTTGTCACAGAGTTTGTTCAAATCTGGAGGAAGGTCTGGCATGCTCCATGTGTTATCTGGCACAGGTTGAGCCTGGGAATCTTTGTCTCATTTGACTCAAGGCATTTGTGTGGCATGTTGAAGAACAAGTTTAATGCGGAAACTGCTGCAGCAGTTAAAACAAACAGGTGACAGTGACCTCCCACTCAATAATCAGCATGAATAATATTAACTTTGTGCATACACAAGTGTTGGTATGTTTCCTATTTAACATAGATAATGTGTCTAAGTTAGTGTGCTTGGGATTGTGTTTTTCTGCACAGGCAGACTCCTGAACAAAATCCACAGCAGGGGGCTCTGCACACTCTAATGGTATTCTTCTCTCTGTGTCAGACTGCAGTTACACTTGTCACTACCGCTGTCGACCATTCATCCAGCTGGACTGCAGCACAGATGGAAGGCTATTAACAGACCAGGCAGATTTCTCTGTTGACTCTATTGAAACAGACACAAATGTGGTGAGGAACAATGATATATTTCCACCTGACAAAAATGACGTATTTTGCAGCACTGTAATTTGCAAAGAAATATGAGTCTAAACTGTGATTCAAAGATTGTTTCACAAAAAAGATTTCAGACCCAAAACCAGCTCCAACTTCATATTAAGTAGTTGGGTAGATCAAAGCAAAATGACATCAACAGATTGTCCAGTGTTGTCCACTGGGTCATCAGTGTGCCATAAACCCTCAGAGATATTACCTCCTCATTGTCAAAGCATTTATACAGCAAGTAATTTAGGAGAGAGCTGGGACAGCTTAACAAGGTCACAATAAAACAGCTGTCCTTATTACAGAGCTACAAACAAAGACATTACTGAGGTCCTTAGACTACCACAGCTTCTCTAATAATTAATGTTTGCTTTAATTGTTCATCAGACCAAATATTATTGATATAAATTGGCTTGGGTTGAGATTGTTTTGTGTGCACTGCTGAAAATCATTACTTCAAGTTTCATAAACTACTCTGCTGCAGCTTGCCACTGATTTTAAACAGCCTGCAAATCAGTTTAGTAAAGTAAAAAGCCAATAAGGTAGTTAGATAACTTTTCACAAGAGTATTTTGAATGTATCAAAAATAAAACTAGTGGTTAGTTGTAAATGGGAAACCACATTTAAATAAAGTTTAGGTTCGACTAGAAACTTTAGAGTTAATACAGTACCTTAGTGAGGACTACTAGCCTACTACACAGCTTTCCTCATGCACCTCAAGAACATCAGGAGACATTTTGAGCAGATCTTAATTGATGTGGGCTGAGCCTTTAGATGCCTTTGTAAAGTTTTATTGTCAGGGAGGAGCAGATGGAAGTGCTGAGGTCAAAAAAGCTGTAAGAAGAGTCTATTTTCCCCAGACAGGAGAAACAGACATAGGACAGCTAAGACATTTTCCAACATACAGCTCAAACTAAGTCAGTGTACATGACAAAATTCTCACAAAGAGTGAGAAGTGGAGCAAAGTGGAGCTGTGTTTCACCTCATATTGATCTTTTTTTCACAAGGTCAGAAGGTCAGCGGTGAGGCTATGGGATAGATTATCTGTCCTCTTGGTTTGATGATACTAAGTCATGCATGGCCATTATTTTGTAATAATAGATTAAGAGCTATTTTTTCTTCCACTTAATTACAGCTCAGTTTTGAAGACAAGCTTTCTGCTGACATCGTGTGGCCTATTTGCTGTACTGTACCTGCTCTTTACTTTTCAGGATGAACAGATCGATTTGGGTAAAAAAGACTTAAGTGCTGGTGAGATTCACCAGAAGGTTATGGAGTATAATGCTCAGGTCAACAGCAATTTCTACATGGTGGTTGTGAGTAGTAACTCTTTATTCCCTGAACATTCAGGCATTCAAAACTCGGATTTTAATCATATTGGCATGTCATAGTTTGCAGACTATGTTGTATTGTAAAAAAAAAAAAAATCCCTTTCTTATGCTGTATATCTATATCTACTGCAGAACAAAGACGGGTCCTACACTGGTTTCATCAAAGTCCATTTTCAGTTAGTGCGTCCGATCTCCCTCCCTCCTCCTCAGAAGCTGCGCTCCACACAGGAGGATGATCAGCAGTCTAAACAGATTAGACGGCGGACATCTTTCTACCTCCCCAAAGATACTGCAAAGCACCTGCATGTAAGCTCCCAAACACGGGCACAAGAAGTCATCGAGGCATTGCTCAACAAGTTCACCGTGGTGGACAACCCAGCCAAGTTTGCCCTGTTTGAACGCACTGAGAGACAAAGTCAAGGTGCCTTTCTTGATGTTGTGTGGTTATTGTAAAACAAAACAGTAGTAAGTATTTAAATCTGAAGTATTGATTCTTATTCTCCTTAGTGTACATGCGAAAACTGTCTGATGATGAATGTCCACTCTACCTACGCTTGTGTGCTGGCCCCAGTGAAAAAGTTCTGAGTCTGGTTTTGAAAGACAGTGAGACAGGGGATGTCAATGTAAGTTTCCATTTGGCTTTGAGTATGAGTTCATCTAATAAGCCTACAAATCCAATCTATAGTATGTACTGTATATGCAACTGTTTCTACTAACAATTGCTCTCCTCGACAGTGGGATGCATTTAGCATTCCTGAGCTGCACAACTTCCTGCGTATTCTGCAGCGTGAGGAAGAAGAGTACATCCGTCAGATTGAGAAGCGCTACGCTTGTGCTAGAGAGAAGATGAAGCAGGCCATGGCAAGGATTACTACCCCTGGCTGATTTAGAGTGATGCCGCTGATCCTCAAATTTCTACATGAAAAAGAACATTCTGCCACTTTGAAAAATACCATAGGAATATTTACAGCAATGTAAAAGGGAAGGAAAGGACTCAGTGATGTTGGTTTGAATAAAGGCTGTTTATGAAGCAAGGATACAGCTGTTACATTTAATGTGACCTATGCCTAAGGGCGCTGCCACTTTTTGTGCAATTGGAGTCACTGCTATGAACTGGATTGGCGAAAACAACAACAACAACAACAAACAAAAATGATCATGGATTAAATTCATTGCAGGTATTTCTTGAAGAATTAAAAACATGCTGCTTGATTAGATTATTTAAGACACATTTGAGTCATTCTGGGAATTTATCTGGTTTGTCTTTAGATTATGTGCCGTTTAGATTCCTTATCTTTTTGACTGTTTTTAAATGTTGACACTTTAACTTGTGAAATGGATTGAATTTTGGACATTAAAATGTGAAACTGTGTTTATGCTATATATAACAAACTGGTGACAATAAATCATGGGTAATTTGATGCCACAGCTTGCTGTAATTTAAAATTTTGATAAAGTTTTGTATGGCCAGCATTAAAATCTATATGGCCAAAATTATATGGATTCCTGGACGTTACACCCATGTGTGATTACTGACAATCTCATTTTATATTTGTGGTCATTCATATGCTGCTATAATAGCGCCACTCTTCTGGAGTGTTGAAGGGTTTTGGAACCTGGCTGCAGAAATTTAATTTTAATCATCTACAGGATTAATGAGTTTAGTGTTGGAATAGTCATTTGTCAAATTTGACCTAAAGGTGTTGGATGGAATTACAAATAGGGCCCAAAGGCCAATCAAGTTAGTTTGCACCAAACTCAGATAATGGCACCTTTAGGGATTTTGCTTTGTGCAAATTGTTGCTATATAGTTGGAAGCACATTGTTGCCTAAAATATCACTCTATGCAGCAACATTAGGATGTCCCTTATTTGTATAGCCTGCTAATACAAACCAAAAAATGCCTACATACGTATTTTGTGTCCACATATTTTTGGCTCTATAGTGTAGCATACTGATACAGTACAGCAGTAAATTTAAATTACAGTATGTTTTTGCTACTCTTCAGATTCTAGCTGCTGCCTTGCTTGTTTCCTGTTTTACACTACTGTCCACGTGGGGGCGACAATGTTTTTTTTCCCCAATCGTCAGAGGAAAACAGAAGAAGACGTCAGTGGTTAGTATGAACAGCTAGCGTCGCTGTGTTATTAGGTCTGAACGTAGCAGCCCAGCGAGACGGATTCAGCAACGAAAATATTTGACTCTACTTTAGGTATGCTTTAACTAAGCTGAAGCGACAAATGCCACTTATCAAACGTTAGTTCAAGGAAACGCCAGGAACGTAATCGTGATTTTGTGGACAAGGGAGAAACATGTTGTCCTGGGTCATGCCAGTACTGCTCTTTAGCTAACGGTAATGTTAATAGACAGGACATAAAGTGACTTGCCATCTACAGTAACTAATGCAAGCGGGGTCCGTTTCTTAACGGTGGGTCAAAGCTAACTAGCCAAATTAGCTAAATTAGCCCAATGCTACCGAGCCCTCTTAAGTGCTGACTAATGTTTTTCAGAGGTGCCCTGATGTTAATTAGCAATTTGACCCGATTTGCAAACATGACATAAGGCTAGCCAGGAGTGTAACATTGGTAGGCTTGTGTTAATATCCTATAATCTCGGCATTGTATGGATGCCCTGTCATGTCAGTGGCCTGCTAACAGATATACATACTGACCTAGGTTGATTTGGGATTAGTCTGGAATTTTCTGCTGTTTGTCTTCTGTCCTATCTCGTCTTCTGTCTTTTTGCAGCGGCTATAAATGCAAATGTAGGTGTTGTACAGTATTGCCGTTGGTTTTCTTTAATGTAAGTTACTGTCCCTGTCTGTGGTACCACGTTTCTTGTTCACAAATAAACAATCAGAAATAAATGTGTACCCAATTTGAGCCTTTTCCATTATCTCTCGATCTAAAATAGGAAGTTCCTGTAAACATTTGTTGCCGTTGTCAAAACGTATAACCTAAAATGACCCATTGATGGGGTTTTTTTTTTTTTTTTTTTTTTTTTTTTTTTTTTTTTTTTTTTTTTTTTTTTTTGTGTGTTTGTTTGTTTGTTTGTTTATTTCCTGAAGGTCTCGTTTCATCTCGTACAGAAACACTGTAGCACCACTGGCAGTACTGTGACCCAAGAAAATAATGTTCTACAGCTGAAGATGGGTGGTAGTGGCTCCAAATCCAAAGGATTTTGGCCTTTTTCTGGCTCAGGTAATGTGGACGATCCAACCAAGGATGGCAACGAGCAGTCACTGGCAAGAGTTCGAAGTTTCCCAGGTGCAACGCCTTTTGTGTTTACTAGACGAAGGTGAATATAGCCTCAGTATCATGTATTATAGCAGACTGGTATAATGACATGTTCTAATAATCACATTGACTTGTAGCACTAATATGCACATTATTCTTCTTGTGCAAGAAAATGTAGATGGTTTCTTTACCATAGTTAGTTATTATTGGAGTTTATGATTTTGAGTTCACTTTGAAGTTTTACTGCGGCCTCAAAAACTCCACAGTGGAACAAACAGTGGTGTACATGGCACATACAGTTTCTTCTGCTGATAATCCCATAACAAAATATGCTGCATTTTATAGATTAGAAAGATACTGAGAGTAATGATGCAAAATGGTGATCAGTAAGTCTTCAAAATCTCAATTTACTGCTTATTAAAGTGTAAACTACTGTGTAAGTGAGTTGTATAGAGAGTAGTGAATATTTTGTGTTATCTGTTCATTTGAAGGAAAAAAGAAGGAGATGTACCAATGTTTACACTGTGGTTGCATTGAAAACATTGTCACACAGTTACATGGCACTGGGCAACATGGTGCCATAAATTTATATTATTGACACAAAGATGACTGTTTAGATTTCAGGCACTATGTAAAGTAAGCTATCACATTACAGTGGACACAGTTCCCAGGACAGCAGACAGGGCCAAGCCATAAGCAAGCTAACCAGCTTGCTGTGTCTTGAGGGCTTGACACCTTAAAATCATTTTGTTTTTGTTGAGATTGTCTTGTTTTAGTGGTTCACATATTGATCAACTCTATTTCTGTGCAACACAAAATACATTATGTGCACAAAAATGTTTGTTATACACTATATTTTGTAATATTTCTATGCCACAGCTCAGTATTACTTATAATTTTTGTATTTACTTAAGGTTTGGAAATACAGGCATACATGTACAGATGTTTTTTGTTTTGTTTTGCTGCAGCTCTATGTTCTTTGATGAAGATGGCGATTTGGCCCATGAATTCTATGAAGAGACAATTGTGACAAAAAATGGACATAAAAAAGCGAAACTGAAGAGAATACACAAAAACCTAACGCCTCAGGTGAGAAACTACAAAAACCCTATGGTAGGATTTTATTCACCTATTTAAGTTTTCTGTATTACTAGTCCAAATCACTTTAATGTCTTTTGTGTCCTTCCAGGGAATTATAAAGCTGGACCACCCATGCATCCATGTAGATTTCCCAGTTATCCTCTGTGAAGCCTGACAGTGTCTGAGGAATGTCTCAGATGAACCACTGTGTCAACTCCAAGCTGTGGTTTCCCCAACAACTGGAAGCCTGAACCACCTTTTAAAATAACATGATCTCTTGATGTATGTGATGCCCTGATGTGGACAGGCCGATGCAATGTGTTCTGAGCCTCTGCATGTCTGCTTTTGGCTTATGTCCAGTTAGACATAGAGTAGGTCACCAGTGGGGCTCTAGAAGGGTGCCAAGATGGCAAAACCTACTCAGTTTACAGGTCATGGTTTGTGCACATTTGTATGTGTGAACGTGCACTGACGTGGGATCACATGAGTCCCAAGTTTATTGCTGCAGATTGTTCTCTGATATGATTCATTGAACTCTAGGAGTTCAAGAAGATAACTCTTTCTCCTGTCACAGTCATATCTAGAGTGAGCGGGGATTTTTGACACCACAATGGCTTGCTTGATTATGCATGGAACAGGATCTGCTTATCAGTAGTAGCCTAGGAAGTTGACAGTCTGTGGCTCACCAAATCTAAAGTGTATAAATGTCATAACAATGTTGGATGGACTTGTTTCAGTGACCTCAGATTCACATATGTACACAGCAACAGTGTGTCAAATAAGAGATCCTGTTTGCTGCTTTGGCACAATTTGTTTCACTTTTAATTTATTCTAACTTTTTTAATTACAATTTGAAATGCTGAACTGGGTCATGGTCCTTTTTTAAATGTATACATCATAGTTGAATCTCATATTAAAGTGCATGTTCTTCACAAGCCGTCATTCTATCAAGAAAGGAAATCTGGCAATATTGTTGCCTATCTCGCTGAAGTCTTCTAGATTTTCTGTTGCAGGTGAAGGTGCTAAAATATACACCAGGATGTAACTGCCTGAAAACACTGAAGTCATGTTCAGTTTTTTCTTTTTATTACGGAGTTTTAGCAGCTTGGGTGGAGCCAGGATTCTACATATTGAAGGTAATAACTGGTGGTACAGTAAGTATATACCTGTGACTGAATTTAAACCTGCATGTTGGTAAATAGTTTCAGGAGCTATGACTGGTTACTTTGGGATTTATGACCATCTCTACAATTCTGGCTGTGGATGCCTGATAGTCCACTTATTTTGTTGGGTGATTTTGTGCTGATGGTGTGGTTTAACCGCACTGAATCTAGAGATTTTAAAGCCTTATGGTTCCTTGGAATCAAAATTTGTAAGAAGTTTTCAGTTTTTGAGCCACAAGCCTGGACTACTGTTGCTGAGAAAAAAAGTGTTGATACTCTGCATTAATACCAACATTTGGAGTTTTGTTTATGTGAATGCAATTAATTTGTTATCCAAACTGAAAGGGGAGAGTGGAGGAAATTTCCTTTCCTTGGTGTCAAATGTGGTTTGCCATGCAAGTCTTCATAAAACAATTACTAGGTCTTTGAAAAGCTAGATGTCAAATAGTCTTTGGAAACTGAAGTGAACTGACGGGACCTTTTCGCCCATGTAGTAGAAATAATTCTCCTGACTTCCACCTGCAGAGGAAATTACTGCAGCAGTCATTGCTAGAAGGTGAAGTGTGTGTCTACTAATGAGGAATGGATGGAGTTAAAAGAGAAGCGGAGGCCATCGATGCAATTTCCATGTGAAAGGGATTTCTATAAAGCTGTCTGTGATATTGTTCTCCTTAGAGAATAAAGATGGCTCTGCCAAATCCCTTCCACAACCTTGCCCTTATTTAAGAGCTTTTTTGCACACATCATGTAACGGAGAAGAACCAGGCATTGCAACACAAAAAATCAACACACCTTTAGCTGAACATTGCTCTTTGACCTAAGATTTCCAACATGTGGTTTACCTAGACAAATTTACACTTGTCCCAGCCAACATCTGGCAGAAATAAATGCTTTGAGTTGACTCATGGTAAAATCTATGTGCTGTCTACTGCTTTGGTCTTGTCATAAGATTATTATAAAATAGTGTTTTGTGTACCCTGTTAATGACAGAAGTGTGTACGCTGTTATTATGAAGGGTATAGATTTGAATCTGGCTCAATTTAGTTATGTCAAAGAAGTAAGAAAAAGAGCTACTCTGAAACACCCCACTTTTCAGGAAAGGTAAAGTGTGGTGTTTTGCACATATGGTATGTGTGTAAAGGTAAGACAGAGCTGGAGTCTGCTGGATATTTAAATACAGGGATTTCAACACAAAATGAAGAACTGTGTTTGTCTCCTCTGTTAATTCAGACTATAATAACGTAGCAGAATAAAACTTTGACCTGCATCCCAATTTTGAACAGTTTAAGCAACTTGATTGTTTTATTTTCATCTTCAGACAAGGGACAAAGAGGTTACTGTTAAGAGACATACTTTTAACAACATTAATAGTAATAGCTCATATTCAAGCTTAAATATATAGAAGAATAGCCTGGCAGCTTTCAAGATCAAGTAACTCTCCTCTTTTAAACACTAAATTATGCCTATTCTGAGAAAGATTCAAGTGACCTGGAGATTTTGTGTTGATGATTTCAACTCAAGTAAAGGATCAGAGCTTTTATGATATGCACCTCATGAATGTCTCGTGCTCCATTCATTCATTCAAGTTAGATTCAATCTTTTTACTCTGAAACTATTTAGGATGTAATTTTTAGTTATTTAAACGTTGCTTAAATAAGCGAAATAACAGGGCATATTGTGAGTGGACATTGTGTTTTATAGCTTAAATGGTCTTATTGATAACATTTACTTCAGTAGTCTAATTCACAACAGAGTTTAGAGAACCGACTACTTTGGTCTTTACCGAGGGGGAGAGGGTGAACGACACTGGAATGTAATTTACCCTCAGATTTATGCCCGATAAGGTTAGGATTTCAGTAAAGTATAATTGTTTTGTATTATATTACAGCGTCAAGAGGTACAAATGCAAACGACAAAAAGAGAAAATAACGTATTACGTAAATTCAGACCACCCCCCCAGGTAGTAACTCAATGGACTGAACTATTGCTGCTCAACATTTTAATTCCCCCGTCACTGCCAAGGAAATGTCCACGGTCAACAGTCCAGTTGCCTTATTGGTGAAATTGTCTGCTATCAACGGGGATTGAACAGACGGTGACTGTTATTTAATTTATTTTATTTTTTTTTTTTTTACAGCAGGGTAGTGGAAGAGTAATTTATCTAACGGTTACATGAGCGGAATAAGCCAATGTCCTCGACTTTATCGCAACAGGTCAGACCGGACAGGAAGTAGAAGAAACCATACGTTAGCTAATTTAGTTTAGCACGTTTCTCGGATTCAGTGAACTCTGACCTGATTTGGCTGAGTTATGTTAACTAAGTTTGTGGACAGAAGTTTAAAGTAGTCTGAGAGAAAATCAGCTAACGCTAACCCAACTGTCCAAGGTAGATATTTTCACTTGTTGTTTTTGATTTAATTTTCAGTCCAGCTTTAAAACACAATTTAACTGTTCCTATAATTTGCTTTAGACATGTCATGTCTTTACACTGTAACCTTATCCTAACAACATTTATTCCCATTTTCGCCATACTCACTTGTGCATGAGATAGTGTTGCTTTTGTGCACCTGAAAGTAGATTTTTCAGTTTTTCATAAAGAAGTGCTGAAATACCTGGACCATCTCTGGAGATATGTGGATTTTTTTTATTTTATTTTATTTTTTATTTTGGGGCAGAATTTTACAAAATAACTATTTTTCTTTTATAGAGAAGGAAGAAAGGTGAGCCGTGACCATGGAGGCTGTACTTCACTTTGTCTCCACCACAGCTGGCCAGCTTCTTTGGTTCCTTCTAACTCTCTTGGCTTCATGGACAGTCATATGTTCAGCGGATGTAAAGCAGACAAGATGGCCGTTATATTCCCGAAAGCCGGTTCTTCTTGTCTGGAATGCCCCAACACAGGACTGTACCCCGCGACATGGTGTAACTTTATCTCTGAAACTGTTTGACATTGTGGCATCCCCCAATGAGGGCTTTGTCCGGCAGAATCTCACAATTTTCTATAAGGAGCGCCTTGGGTTGTATCCTTATTATAAACCGGATGGTGCTGCAGTGAATGGAGGTCTTCCACAGCTTGCCAGCCTCACTCAGCACTATGAAAAGATGCCTGGAGATGTGCAAAAATACATACGTGAGCCAGAGGCAAAAGGTTTGTCTGTTATTGACTGGGAGGAATGGCGCCCACTGTGGATTCGAAATTGGGAAATGAAAGATATCTATCGAGATAAATCTCGCAAACTGGTGGCCAAGAAGAATTCTAAGTGGACCCCAGAACAAGTGGGAAGAACTGAACA